CAAGTGGCTTGACCTCTCTAAGCTTTAATTTTCTCATTGCAAAATGGGGGAGATGATGGAACCTGCTGCAGAGGTCCTAAGACAGGGGCTCTTAGCTCTTTCTAGGCCCTTTGGCAGTCTGAGGAAGCCTGTGGGTCCCTTTCCCGAGCAATGGGTTTTAAATGCATAAAATATTATACATAGGATTAGAAAGGAAACTGATTTATTAAAATACAATTATCAAAATAAAACATTTGTGATATGGCATGTGTGTGCTTTTTTATTACTGCATTAACTAGCAGGATTTGGTGGCGGGTCTAATAACTGTCATGATTTCAAGGCAGTGATAAGCGTAAAGGATATTCTGAGAAATCTGTAGCAACTGTAATGTGATATGAAAACATCTGTGATTTCTCCCGGTGACAAAGTCATGGGTATTGCTAATACTACATTCACAATGGGAGGAAACGCTATGCTTCAGCTAGAAGGGAGTCAATTTTCCCATCTGGGTTTAGGAGCCCTTTTCGAAGGATGTGCCTAGGGCCAGCAATGGGGACCAGAGAGAAGCAGCAGTGGGGACAAAAGTTGCAATGGTAGTGGGAGGATGAACTCTGGGTGGCCCAATATAAAATTGTAGGGAGCCTGGGCCCTGGGTTCTGGGTGTAGGTCTTTCATCTGGTTGTGACACAGTTTTTAGCAAAAGGCAGGCTGTGTAGGCACTTTACAATTTTGCCACAACTTAGCGGCACAGGATAGGGGTTAACCACAGCTCATATTAACCAGTGCCTGCTGTGGGCCATCGCCTGTGCTACACATGTCTCATCTGCAGTCTCAGTTAATACAACAGCTCTGCAAGGTCACTAGCACTATGATCCTCATCTTTTATTTTTATTTTTTTTAAAGTAGGCTTCATGCCCAGCACGGGAGCTCAACATGGGGCTTGAACTCATGACCCCGAGATCAAGACCGGAGCTGAGATCAAGAGTTAGACACTTAACTGACTGAGCCACTCAGGCACCCCTATGATCTTCATCTTTTAGATGAGGAAGTTGAGACTCAGAGGGATCATGTCACTTGCCTAAGGCCACACAGCTGGGGGGAGGGCGAAGCAGGTATCTACCCTAGGTAGGGCTAATTCCAAAGCCCATGCTTTTTACTTCGTGGCAATGTTTAAAATGTCGATTTTATAATTCAGCAGGCTGTAGAAGGCATCTTATTATTTTGTTTTTTGAAAAAAGTATTTATGAAGTTGAATATTTTCCCATTCTCTGTTTTTGTCTTCTGGGTGGGTTTCATTAATGGTTCTGTCTTCTGGGTGGGTAACCTCTTCAGGTTCTTGGCATGAGTGCATGTCCTTTGGCAAATTTATCAGGATTTGATGTTTTTCTTGTCAGTCTGTACTGACTCTTTATATAATACAGATATTCACTGATTTCTGAACAGTGAACATGATGTTGGCATCTTTGTTTCGAAATTCCTCCTCATTTGCCAAGCATATAAAAATATTTCAGTGACTAACGCTGAGTCACTGGCTTCTTTTGTACCAATACTTATTCGTAGTAGGACTCATTACACAAGAAACAAACGTCCATGCCATTAAATGGCAAAGGAGCCCTCCTTCGGAACAGTTATACTCAAACTTGGCTCATCAGCAGACTCAGTGAGGGCCTCGTTCTGAACAAAGGCTCTGGGCTGCCTGATTCCTTACGATACTGAAGTCTGGGCCTCTGCATCTTATAAAGCTCCTCTGCTCATGCTAGAGGAACACCTGTTTGTGGAGCTGTTTTGGGAGACCACCGCTTTATGACATTTGTCTGAACAATATAGGAAGTCCCAGGTGCAGAAAGATAGCATTCAAACAAAGTTAACAGACTTCTGAGCAAGGTTTCAAGCATCAAATTCTGGCTCTGCCCCTTTTAAGCTGAATATCCTTGGACAATTAACTTTGCCCTCCTGAGCCTCAGTTTTCTCACCTGTAAAATGGATACCATAGTTTCTGACTCACAGGATTGTGGCAAAGGTAAATGAGAGAAAAAAAAAAAAAGACATCATGTAAGGCATGAATAAGGGGCCAGAGGCATCCTGGATATTTGGTAACTATGGCTTTGATTAACGTGGCGGTGGCACCTTGGCTCCATGGGGAGTACATTAGGGTTGAGGGAAGACCTCTGCCAGTGGCTGGGAGAGCCAGGACAGGATGCTGCTAGACCGAGGGGAGGGGCAATTGGGAGGGTGTTTGGGCCTTCAGCAAGGGCTGGGGGGTAAGGGCAGGTTCTAGTCCTAGTCAGGGTTCTAGTCACAGGCAGGCTGTGACTGGCTCCCTCAGGCCTATCAGATGTTGCATTTGAAGTCCCATCTAATGCCAACATGACAAACAGTATTCACTGTCAATGTGATTTGGGACCAAAAATCTAAAGGAAGCAACTGAAATTGTATAAACAAATGATCATTTAGTAAAGTGTCCCGAGACAAGACCTATTTACCCCAATCAATGCTCTCCTTTATTCTAGCCATAGTCCGCCAGAAACTGTAATGAAAAAAGAGATGCCATTCCCAGAAGCAATGGAAAAATACTTAGGAATAAACTTAATGAGAAATGCGTGTGACCTATATAAAGACAACTACAAAATTTTATTGGCAAAATAAAAGAAGACCAGAATAAATGGAGAGGCATACTATGTTTCTGCATGGGAAGACCGAATATTGTAAAAATGTCAAACCACCTTATGTTAATTTGCAGATTTAATGCAATACCAAACAATCTTGCAAAAAGAACTTGATAAAATGATTCTAAAATTCATCTAAAAAAAAAAAAAGAAAAACAAAACATTGGTCAGAATATCAAGGAATATTCTGAAAACAGAAAGCATTGATATATAGCCTTACTGAATATTAAAACATATAAAGTAGTAATAATTAGAACAGTGAGAATATTGATGGAGGAAAAAGAAATAGATTTTAATGGATTAGAATAGAATGCCTAGAAATAGATGAGATCATGTGTAAAAATTAAATATGATAAAGAAACCACCCCAAAACAATGAGTGGGTGATGAATTATTTAGTAAATGCTGTTGAAAAAACTGATTAGCAACTTGAAAAAATAATTTGTAATTTAGATACACCTTCTACTTCATCTCAAAATGATTCCAGCTGCATATAAAATTAAATTCAGAAAAGGACCAAATACTGAACAGCAGAGAATGGATATGAGTATTTATTAGATCTCTGAAACACTGATTTTAAAGAGACAATATAATAAATTATATAAAATGTAAAATATACATAAAAATCATTTCATATAGACATGATGACTGAGTAAAATGATTGGGGGCAAAAACGTTGAGGTAATAATGTGTTTAGGGAGATATTTTTCCTTTTTGTTTTAATAATAGTTTTTCAGTAAATAAAAAGAGTAAAATGTCCATAAATTGTTTTTAGACGTTAAATATTATAAAAACTTAAATAAGTATTAACACATAATCCCATTATCTATTATTGTTCCTCTGTTTTAAATAGAGTTAGAAAACCTTACTACAATATAATCTAAATATAATCTCTTATGAGGAACTGCTGATAAATGTTCTCTTACCAACTCTTTAAGTTCTATGAATTCTCATTTTACTTAGATTTCCTCAGGCTGGAGTCAAATGATTTTTTCAATTTACCCTAAATTAGGAAAAATTTTTATTGAGGTGAAACTTCCAGAAAATTCACAATCTTCAGCGTACAGCCAGCTCAGTGAACACTCATGTTACCACCCATAAAGATGTCAAACATCTCCAGCTACCAGAAGCTTCCCTCTTGCCAGTCTGCCACCTCTTCCCTGGTTTCCACCCAAATCAGGTTTGTCTTGCCTGTTCTTGACCTTTGTATATATGGAGACTTACAGCCTGTACTCTTTTCTGTCTGACTTCTATGACATTACATTATATTTGTGAGCTTGATCCATATTGCAGTGTGTATTATAGTTCATTTTTCATGGTCATGTACTATTCCAGGGTATGAATATACCGTATTTGATCCATTCTACTCATCCAGAGCATGGGGTAATGGAGAGAGGTTTGTATTATAATCTGAAGGCCTCAAACCTGCAATGACTTTCTACTCCTCCTGGACAAAGGAAGAGGGAGAGAGGGCCAGCGAGAAAACTTTGGACCTCTTACCTCTGCCCTTTGTCGTGGGGAGGCCTCTTGTCATATGGCATTTAATGATCTTCAGAATCCAGGCCTGACTGGGTATCTGGCGCTCGCCAGGCCAAAAGTCAGAACTCCAAAATGCCCACATTCTTCTCCCTTGGCCCCGAGGCCTGATTTTGGGGAGACCGTACCTATTGGAGTCTGAGAGTACATTTGCCTCACTGGAGAGGAAAGGGACACCACAATGCAGGTGTGTGTTGGGTAAAGCCCGCTGCCCTTACAGTAAAGAGGGAGAGAAAGGTGGCAGATGTGAACCTTTCCAACCCTCCCAGGGATTATGAATGTCATGATCCAGCACAGTGTGGCTGGGTAATTACAAGTGTCACAAAGTTTGTGCCGTGAGGTCGACATCCGGGGAGTGATGCTTTGAGCTGAGACCTGGAGGAGAGGTGGGGAGCCAGCTAGGTGAAGGAGCAGTTGGGCAAGAGGGGATGGAGGGAAGAAGCTTCTGGAATTAGTGCGTGGCAGGCTCTGGGCACCGGAAGAAGGGAGGGCAGTGGGAGATGGGGCAGGGAGACCGTGGGAAGAGCCAGACCCTGTGGGACAGAGGAAGGATGTTGTGAGATCACACTTCAGAAAGGCTGTGACCAGTCAAGGTTAAGTGCAGGGAGACCGCTTTTCTGATCTGTAAAATGGGGTAATATGCCAATCTCAACAGAGGTGGAACAGAGGTGGAAGGCGAGAGCAGAAGCGGACACACTTTACAGTTTCCAGGTGTCTGTCGTTCATTCCAACCCAGGGCGCTGGCGGGCTGGAGGCGGGGCCCGCGGTAGCCCCGGATGTGCGCAGGCGCAGTTCGGCTTTCTCCACCTGCCCGCGTCTGATCCTGGGTGAGCAGTAGCCGTTTCCTGCTCGACGCGGTCTTCTGGCAGGATTGGCAGCGCCAGGTAAGTCCCACGAGGCGTGATGCTACTTCCCTGGTGGTGTTGTCGGTCATTTTGAGACAGACCAGTTGGTGAGGGAGGTATCCGTGTGCAAATCCTCAGTGAAGCGTGGCTGCGGGAAACGGCGGCGAAGAAGGTAGGGGAGGTGGCGAGACCTCGAATCTGTTTTTCCCGGCGCTGGGCAGCCCCATATCCGGCCCGGTGACAAGAGTAGGACCCACCTCAAGCACACCCCGAAACCCCCCTCTGCCGTCTCCGTGTCCCCACCCTGGCCTGTTCCCCACCTCCGTGCAGCTGGAGGCATCACAGCTGCATCGGCCTTTCGAGATCCGGTTCTCCACTCCGCGGCCAGAGAGAGCTTTCCAGAGCCAACCAGAGCCCATCACTGCTTTGTCAGGGCTCCTTGACGCTCCCCGTTGAGATTAGAATAAAATCCCAGCGCCTACTGTCCCCAGGCTGTTGGGGCGCCTCCTCCCTGCTGATATCCTCTCCTCTCCCTCCTCTCCTCTCCTGCTCCGGGCCACACTTGTTGGTTCCCCCGACTCCACATCCCTTCGTGTCTCAGTGCCTTTGCGTTTCCTGTTCATGCCCCTGAAAAGTGCTGTCCCCATATCTTTATGTGGCTGGCTTGTCTGTCATTCAGCTAAAATATCATTTTCCTTCTAACAAGGACCTACCCCGACCAACCGATCCAAAGTAACTATTCCTCATTGCTTCTCCAGATTTATTTTCTTGATAGCACGTGGAACCCTGTGAAATTTTCTTGTCTATTTATTTTCTTGCTGACTGGGGGGTCAGAATCCAGCGTGAGCTTCATGAGCAAGGGGCTCATTTCCTCAGCAGCAGAGTAAGGTTTAGCATGTAGTATGTATTCAGTATATAAAATGTAATGAATGAGTGAGTCAATGGTAAAGGAGAAGCTGGTGGTGGTGGTGGTGATGGAGGTGGAGGAGGGAGGGAGAGGAGATGGTGGAGGTGATGATGATGCACAGGAAGAGGAAGTAGGGAGTTTTAGGGAGGATGAGCCTGGTCACTCACATGTCCCTGTCTGTGGCTAAATCGTGCCCTTCGCATCTCAAGAGCTGCATATTCTGAGAAGAGATTTGGGGGGGTGCTGCTTTCTGCACTACCTCTGAGATCTCCCAGCCTACAGAACACCCCAGAGCCAGCCACAAAGCCCAGCCTTCCTCCCTGTTTAATATTCAGCTTAAACTTTACATACCTTGTTTAAACACTTCAGCACCTTCTCCTCAATTCTGCCCCTCACCAAAAATAAAAATATTTTGGTACTGCAAATAAAAGCAAATATTTGACACCACTTGGCATTTTTCAGTGCATTAATTAGCAATTTGCTGGATAAATATGGCTGTGTAAATCAACAGTCACTTCCTAATAATTAAAAGCTAAGTCAGATGTTATCAGAAAACCCTCAGGTGTATGCTCCACGTCTGGGAAATGCTGCTGCTCCTTGCAGTTCTGGCTGAAACACAAGTAGCTGGGAGAGGGTGCTGTTGGTCCTGGGCTGGCCATGCCCTGAGTTCCAGCTTTAGCTTTGGAGGGAGGGAACCTGGAGATGCTGGCAGTGGGCTGGAGGGTGATGGGTCCCTATGCCTCTCCCAAGGGTCCCACACATGGTTGGGACCGTTGTGAGAAACAGATTTGGTCAAGGTTTGCTGATTGGAATAGGAGTCAGTCTAGACTAGGGAATCTGACATACATAGAGCCCCAGATCAGCCACTTGCTGGCTGTGTGACCCTGGACAAGGCATTGGTTCTCTCTGAGTCTTAGGTCCTTTGTTTGTAAAATGGGTACAATAAAAGTCCTGCCTCACAGGATCGTTCTGAGGGTAAATAGATAGAATGCATGTGCTTGGCCTGCAATGTGTGCCCCGCAAATGTTAGTGATTAGTGGAGGTGGTTTTCTCTGGGTGACTTGCTCTGGGTCTTACCTTCTCCTCTTTCCCGTTGCTGCCTAAATGGTCTTGTAGCAAATCTTTGTCTATCACTTCTTTTGTTCAGCTCTCTTTAAAATACCTTCCTGGTCTGTGAAGCAAAATCCTAATCATGGTGTGAATCATGGTGTGTGAATCCTCCCCAGTCCCTGGCTTGGCTAGGATGGGAAGGAAGTAGGACAGGGATGGCCCAGTTGCTTGGCTCCTACAGGGCCAGGGCTGCAAGAGGGGGACCCTCTCCTCTAAGCTGTATAGTCTCAAACCTGAGGACCCTGTGGCACAGGAAGATAGGAAGCCAAGTTTGGCGGCTCAGGAAGACTGGGCTGAGCCAGCTGAAAGGGGCGTGGACTGTTAGGCTTGTGGAACAAGATGGTGAACCAAGACTTTCTGTGTAACCGCTTCCTCCCCTCTCCCCATCCCCCTGAAATTACTACAAGGATGTAAAATAGGGGAGCAGAGAGGACACATACTACCAGAAACACAGGGGAAAGTGACACTGATGCATTAGAAACTGGAAGAATTTCTACTAATACTAGAAGGACCTGTCTGGGGAGAGGGCTGGCCGTTTGTGGGATTCCCCATGTGAGAAGGAAGAGTCATCCTGGAAGTCATTAGAGCTTCCTGCGATTGTGTGGCTTCCATGTGCCAGACCTTGGGCCAAGGGAGTCACATGCACCACCTCACAGTGAACCCCCATCACAGCTGAGGGCTAACATGCTATTATGGACCCCATTTTGCACAAGAGGTAGGGTCGCAGCATCCCAGCCAACTTGTTGTAACCCGAACTTCAAAGACAAGGTTCACTGGCATAGCACGGATGTTCCCATGACATGTGTGCCGTGGTATCTCACCTTATTACTCCCCTGAGGCAACGAAACCCAGAAAATAGCACTGACCCTTCAGCAAACCCCAATGTTTCCCTCGTCTGGGCCTGGATGACTAACACAGTGTTCTCATCTCACCCGCCACGGGGGGACAAAGGTGAGGATGCGTGGACAGAGGAAGACCACTGGGCCTGTGAAAAGACTCAGAAGTTCACAGTAAAGACAGTGATGCAAATATTCCCCCTTGAGACAAACTTCCTGCCTGAGTCAGCAGAAATCTTTAGAAAATCTCCAATTCGTATGCCCAGTGAGATTCAAGGGGACACTGTATATCTGAAAAAGTATACTCTGATACTGGAAAACATTGTTTTCAGCTAAAAGGCACAATTAACTGCATTTAAAAAGGCAATGAAGACAGGAAATTGATTGAATACTGTATTAAAACAGAATCCATGATTTGAAAATGGGTTTCAAATTTTTTTCCTTTAATTCAGAAGAAAGGAATAAAGGGATGAGTGAGCTTAGTGGAAAGATTACATTGAAAAAAGACTTAATAAATAGAATAAAACAAACAATAGTCAAAGAAATAATAAAATCAATCTGCCCTTTGAACATTAGGTGAAGTTACTGAAATGAGACCTCTAGCCAGGTGAAATATTTGAATTTCAGGGGTTAAAGGAAAATCCTGTAAGTATCCAGGCAGAGGGCCGAGACAACAATGGCTACAACAGTAATATAAAAATACTTCTCTTTCATGTGATAGTACAAAAGTATGTGATTCAAGGTTTGCATGGGGACTCTGCTCCATGAGGTTTCCCAGAGTTCTGAAGAATTTATCGAGAGCACAGACTTATTTTATCTTGTTGCGCTGCCATTTTTAGGGTGTTAATTTCATCTGCAAGGGGCCTTGTTAACAAGCAGCAGATTGGAGAAATAATAAAAGCAGGGCGTGCCCCTCACACCCCTTTTAATCACCTACCTCCAGCTGAAAGGGAGGCTGGGATATGTAGTTTTAATTCTAATAAACTGTGTGCTTAGCTAAATGTTAGGGTTCTGTAACTATGAGAGAGAAGAGAATGGTTATCGGAGAACTTTTACCTCGATGCACTACAACTGGAAATTAAAGAGAAAATAAAAAGGAAAACACCCAAATCAATCGTTCTCTACCACATAAAAATTTTTGAAACACTCTATTGTAGCCCTTGGATCAAAGCGGAAATATAAGCAGAAACTGCAGAAAATCTAGAAAATAAAGACAGTGAACTACATATCAGAATCTGTAGGAAATGGTTCAAGTAATACTCAGAGGAAAGGCCTTAAATATTGATATCAATAAACAAGAAAGATGAAAACAAGAAAATTAAATCTCTTATAAGTTAGAAAAAGTACAACAAAATAAAAATAAACCAAAGGAGAGCAAATCAAGAAATTTGTTGTTTTTTTTTTTTTTTCAACGTTTATTTATTTTTGGGACAGAGAGAGACAGAGCATGAACGGGGGAGGGGCAGAGAGAGAGGGAGACACAGAATCGGAAACAGGCTCCAGGCCCTGAGCCATCAGCCCAGAGCCCGACGCGGGGCTCGAACTCCCGGACCGTGAGATCGTGACCTGGCTGAAGTCGGACGCTTAACCGACTGCGCCACCCAGGCGCCCCGCAAATCAAGAAATTTGTAAAGTATAAAAGAAGAAATTATGAGTTAATAAGAAATATAGAACTAATTACAGGAGGAAACCATTAAGATAGATCAACCACAAAATAATCTAATTAAGAAAAAGGGCAAGAAAGTGTAAATACACAAAATCAAAAATGATAAAAATAACCACAGACAGGACAGTCAAGAATCAGTAAAGTGCTTTGCTTAACTTCATGTAAATATTTAAAAATCTAGATGAATTTGGCAATTTTTTTCCTAAAGTATAAATGATCAAACTCCATCCAAGAAGAGAGAGAAAATCTAAACAGTTTCATTTGTTAAAGTAGCTAAAGTGATCTCCTCAAAAAGCACCAGACCCAGATGGCCTCACAGGGAAATTCTACCAACCCTCTAATGAACTGATAATTAATTCCAATATTATCTAGACTGTTTCAGAGTTTTTAAGAGGAACTTCTTCCTATTTATGTTAATAAAGCAAGTAGAATATTAATACCCAAATTCAAGAAAGATTTCACACAAAAGAGAACATAGTCACTTAGGAAAAGCAGTGCAAATAATCCTAAATAAAACTTA